ACCCTCTCTCCCTCTGCCACACCCTTTTTCACACACATATTGCCACTCCTCCTCTCACACACACATTGCCACACCTTCCTCCCTCTCAGGTACACCTCTCCCCTACACACCCTCCTCACACACCCTCCTCGCCAGCCACCTCTAAGCACACCTCCCTCACACACACACCTCTGCCACACACCTCCTCCTCACACACACACACACTCCTCCACACACTCCTCTCCCTTTCCTTACATGGCCATACACACATACCTCTACACACACTCTCTCCCCTCTCTACACACACACCTCCCTTCTCACACACCTCAAACACACACACTTCCACACACACCCTCTCTCACAAGCTGGGCTCTACACACCTCTCTCTTACACACACACACCTTCCCTTCTCTGCCACACACCCCTTTCCTCACACACACACCCTCCTCAAGCACACCTCCACACACACCTCCTCCCTTCTCACTCCTCTCTACACACCCTCTCCTCTTCTCACACACTCCCTCCCTCTCTCACACCTCCCTTCACACACCTCTCCCCTCACACACCCTCCCCTCTCTGCCACCTTCCCTTACACACACCCTCCCTTCTCACACACACAGCTCCCCTCCCCTCTCACATACCTCCTCACACACACACATACCCTCCTCTCACACACACACACTCCTCCTCTCTCACACACACTCTTCTTATACACCCTCTCTACACGCCACCCTCTCACAACATACACTCCTCCTCGCCACACACCTCCTCTCTCACACATGCACTTCTCTCACACACACCTTCCTCACACACAGCCTCCTCCATGCTAAGGTTGCCACACCTCCCTCACACACACACACCTCCTCTCACACACATGCTACACTCCTCCTCTCACACACAAGCAATTCTCTCCCTCTCTACATACCTCCTTCTCACACAATTCTCTCAGCACACACACCTCCCTCTCACACCCTCCCTTGCCACACCCTCCCTCTCACACACTCCCCTTCACACACCCTCCTCACACTCCCTCCCTTCACATGCCACATGCCACCTCTCACACACCTCTCCCCTCACCCCTTCCTCATGCCACACCTCCTCTCTACACACCTCTCCTTCCCTACACACACACTCTTCTCACATACCTCTCCTTACACACACCCTCCTCTCACACACACAGCCTCCTCTCACACACCCTCCTCACATACACCTCCTCTCACACACACCTCCTCTCACACCTCCTTCCACACATATACACCTCCTCTCACAATTCCCTCCTTTCATACATACCTTCCTTTACACACCTTCCCTTCTCACTCCCCTCCCTTTCTATTACACACATTCCTCCTTTACACACGACACCCTCTCCCTTCTACACACACAGCCACCACTCCTCCCTGGGCACACACCTCCCTCTTCAAGTGGCCACACACCCTCCTGCATGCCACACCCTCCTTTCTCACAGCACACCCTCTCCCTTCTGCAGAAGCCACAAGCCACCCTCCTCACACACACTCCTCCTCTTACACTCTCAGCACATACACCTCTCACCTCTCTCACACACACCTCCTCACACACACTCCCTCCCTCTCTGCCACTCCCTCTCTCACACACCCTCCCCTTGCCACAATTCCTCCCTCTCACACACCCTCCTCCCCCTGCCACACACCTTCCTCTCGCCACACATACACTCCTCCTCTCACACACACTCCTCCTACACACACACCCTCTCCTCACACACACCCTCCCCTTCACACACACACCCTCCTCTCTCACACACTCTTCACACCTCTCATGACACACCTCTCTCAGCATACTCCTCCTTCACACACACCCTCCCCTTTACATACACACTCCTCCTTTCCCTACACAGCACTTCTCCTTCCTTGCCATATACCCTCCTCTCACACACACTCCTCCCTCTCACACACCCTCCCTCTCACACACACACCCTCTCCTGCCACACACCCTCCTCTCTACATACCCTCCCTCTCACACCCTCCTTCTCACAGACACAGCACCCTCCCCCTCACACACACACACCCTCCTCTCTCACACACACCCTCTCGACACACAATTTCTCCCCCACACACACACCCTCCCTCTCTGCCACACACACCCTCTCCCTCTACACACTCCTCTCCCTTCTACACACACACTTCCTCACACACACACACCTCTCTCTACACACACACCCTCCCTTACACACACCCTTCCCCTCTCTACACACCCTCCCTCTCAGCACACACACCTTTCACACCCTCCTCACACACCTCCTCTCTGCCACACCTCTCCCCTCTCACACACACCCTCCCTCAGCACACACACCTCTCTCACACTTCTCTCTACACACCCTCCTCTCACACACACACACCCTCCTCTCACACCCCTCCTTCCTTGCCACACACACACCTCTCCCTCACATACACAACACCCTCCCTCTACACACACCTCCTCTGCCACACCTCTCTCACACACACCCTCCTCGTACACACACACCCTCCCTCTCACACATGCCACCTCTCACACACACCCTCTCACACACACACCCTCCCTTTCACACACAATTCTCCCTCTGCCACACACACCTTCACACCTCTCCCTCGCTACACACACCTTCCTCACACACACCTCCTACCCCCTCCCTCTCTCACACACACACACCCTCCCTCACACACACACAGAGCCTCCCTCACACACCCTCACACACACACCCTCCCTCTCACACACACACCCTCCCCCCACACACACACCTTTTCACACACACACACACTCTCCCTCTCTCACACACACAAACACACGCACCGTCCCTCTCACACACACACCCTCACTCTCACACACACACACTGTCCCTCTCACACACACACACACCCTCCCTCTCACACACAGTCTCACACACACACACCCTCCCCACCCACACACACACCCCCTTCCTCTCACACCCACCCTCCCTCTCACACACAGACACACCTCCTCCCTCTCACACACAGACACACCCTCCCTCACACACACGCACCCGCGGGTGAGCGTCCTTCGTGTGCTGGATTTTATACCGATGGAGTCGTATCTCCTTCCAGGTTGCTTTTCTCCCCTGACGATGCTCTCAGGATGCTTTTCCCTCTCCGCACCTGTGTTTTTGTGTCATTTTCAGGCGTAACTTGCATTTGTGGAGTGTTCCATCTCCTGTGAACTCCAGAGCATGGTGGACAGACTGTGCCGCTGCAAGAAGCTACAAAGAGGTGGCCCTGCTGTTTGCAGGACTTTCCCTCTTGCCCCCAGGGGCTCTGCCCTGCACAGGCAGTGGCTGTGGTTCTGAGTTGCTCCCCATGTGGGTGGGCCATGACCTGCAGGGCCAAGGTGCTGACCCCTGAGAGCTTCCCAGGCAGGCCTGAAACATGATGCTGAGGCCACCATGGTCAGCGTGGTCTCTTCTGCCGGACCTGTGTCTTGTCTCCTGGCATCTTCACACCAGGCTCTGCATCCGAGCCTCTCAGAACAGACTGAGCAGGCGCCACGTTGTCCCCCACCCCAGCAGGGCACTGGGCCACATTGAGCCTCCCCAGAGGCTGCCTCTCCCAGGGCTTCATGGCCAGTCACGGCCCCTGCCCGCCTGAGGATGTAAACTGACAAGTTGGCAGGTGCCTGAGTGCTGGTCTGGCATGTGCAGTGCATGTAGATGCCACCCAGCATAGGTCTGTGTCTTCCTCCTGTTGATTTCCCCCTTGCAGCCTTTAGGGGCTCCCCGTTCCCCTGTGCAGGCTCATGCTCACCTCCCAGGCAGCTTGCAGCATTTCCTCTCTAGTGTTCGCCAGATACCGGAGGTTTCTATCTTGGGGACCCAGGAGGGGCCACAGCAAGAATGAATGGGGTTCCCATAAGGCTCCCAGCCCAGGGTCCCCCATCTGGCACTCCGACAGCCAGAGAGGCCAGGCCGTGGCACCACCCTATGCAGGGCTGCTGTCACTGCAGGAGGATCAGGCCCTGGCTGAGCCCTCTGGCCTCTCTCCCTGAGCCCCTCAGCCTGGTCATGTCTGGGGACCTCACCCTGGCTGTGTGCGCACAACCTGGTCTGGCCTCGCCTCCACCAACGTGCTGCCCTCACATCTCCTTGGGCACCCAGCCTTCAGCATGGCAGCGATTTGGCTGCCCAGAGAGTGTGCTGGGTTGGAAGGGAACATGGTCCACTTTGGGGTCTTGCCTGCCTTTCACATGCCCACCTTGAGTCCCCTTGGGGACAGGGCCTGGCCCAGCCAGTGCCCGTCCACACAGCAGGATGAGCATGGCCCCAAGGTAGTGTCTCTTCTCCTTCCCTTGTCCTTGTTTGCTGTCCCTCTGTCCTTGCTGTGTGGACAGTGATGGTCTGCCCTGTGCCAGGCTAAGCACTTGGGTCTGTGTGTCCAGCTGCAAGCAGGCTTCTTTTTTTTTTTTTTTTTTTTTGAAGTGGAGTCTTGCTCTGTCATCCAGACTGGAGTGCAGTGCAGTGGCATGATCTCAGCTCCTTGCAACCTCTGCCTCCCAGGTTCAGGCAATTCTCCTGCTTCAGCCTCCTTAGTAGCTGGGATTACAGGCGCCTGCCACCGCCTGGCCTCCCCTAATGTGGGATTGCAGGCTGCGCCACACGTGCCCAGGTAATTTTTTTTTTTTTTTTTTTAAATTTTTAGAAGAGACGGGGTTTCACCATGTTGGCCAGGCACAGGCGCCTGCCACCGTGCCCAGGTAATTTTTTTTTTTTTTTTTTTTAATTTTTAGAAGAGATGGGGTTTCACCATGTTGGCCAGGCTGGTCTCAAACTCCTGACCTCAAATGATCCACCTGCCTTGGCCTCCCAAAGTGCTGGGATTACAGGCATGAGCTACCACGCCCAGCCCAGGCAGAGTTCTTATGTACCCCCAATGAGCCTGCCCACCTCAGCCATGCCTGTTGAGGGGGTGGGGCGATGCCCTGTGGAGCAGCCATGCCAGTGGGTACCTGGGAGGTGGGCAGCCCTGGGCCAAATCCGAGCACGCCCCTCTCTGCTGCAGCAATGCAGAGTCCCTGGACAGGCTCCTGCCACCTGTGGGCACCGGGCACTCTCCCCGGAAGCGGACCACCAGCCAGTGCAAGTCGGAGCCTCCCCTGCTGCGCACCAGCAAGCGCACCATCTACACCGCAGGGCGGCCGCCCTGGTACAACGAGCACGGCACGCAGTCCAAGGAGGCCTTCGCCATCGGTGAGAGCAGCGGGAGCGTGGGACCTGCTGCCGGACGCCTGCCTCCGGCTCCCCTCCAATGCCTTCCACTGGAGCAGGAGAAGGAAGCCGGGCAACTGCAGGCAGTGGCAGTGGGGTGGGTACCTCTGGGACTGATCTGTGTGGGCAGCCCGTCTGTTCCTCATAGAGGGTCTCCGCTCCCCCCGGCAGGCCTAGGAGGTGGCAGTGCCTCTGGGAAGACCACTGTTGCCAGAATGATCATTGAAGCCCTGGACGTGCCCTGGGTGGTCTTGCTGTCCATGGACTCCTTCTACAAGGTGGGCCCCCGCCCAGCTCCCCCAAGGACCCCCTTGTCCTCTCCCTGACCCTGGAACCCCTGCACATACGGGTCTCTGGTATCTGAGCCCCAGCGTGGCTACTCCTGGGAGGCCTAGAGCCCCTGCCCACTGGCATTGGGTGAGGGCCCTGCTGTGCCTGCAACTGCTCCACAGCCTCCCCCACCAGGTGCTGACTGAGCAGCAACAGGAACAGGCCGCACACAACAACTTCAACTTCGACCACCCGGACGCCTTTGACTTCGACCTCATCATTTCCACCCTCAAGAAACTGAAGCAGGGGAAGAGTGTCAAGGTGCCCGTCTATGACTTCACCACGCACAGCCGGAAGAGGGACTGGGTAGGCCGGGGGCCTGCAGAGGGGGCCAGAGGGGGCCTCGGGGGGGTAGGCCAGGGCCCTGCAGAGGGGCCTCGGAGGGTAGGCCAGGGCCCTGCAGAGGGGCCTCGGGGGGTAGGCCAGGGCCCTGCAGAGGGGCCTCGGGGGGCCGCAGGCACATGAGCCGGGCTCCACAACTTCTGGGTCTCTTCACAGAAAACACTGTATGGTGCAAACGTCATCATCTTTGAGGGCATCATGGCCTTTGCTGACAAGACACTGCTGGAGGTTAGCACTCACTGGGAATACCCACCCCACTGGTGTCTCAGCCCTGGCCACCCTGTCCATGAGGTGTGTGTCCTCTTGCCCCGTCCCCAAGGCGTCCACATCCTATAGGCCTAGGCCAGCCACTCCCTACCCCAACCCCAACCCCAGGCAGGCTACGGCTGGGTCCATCTGCTGGCCCTGCAAGGCAGAGCTGGGGCAGTGGTTCCTTCTCCACCAGCTGAGGCCTGTGCTCATACCTGGCGTGTTCTTGGTGTTCTCGTCCCTTGCTGTGGTCCTGACGGACAGGTGAGGACCCGGGGCTGGTGTGTTTGAGAGACTGTGCTGTAGGTCACAGGAGCCTTCAGGACAGAGCTGAGTGTGACTCAGGTTGGCCTGATCCCAGGGCCGAAGTCCTGCCCCTGGCACAGGCCCAGAGGACCCCACTGTCCAGCACATAGCCGCCCCCAGCCTCCACAAGGCCTCTTCAGGGGCCAACTGTGGTGTGCTGAGCATGTGGATAGACCCTAAACTCGCCATGCTCCCCGTTCCCCAGTGTGTTGGTGCGAGTTTCCTCAAGCAAAGTAAAGGAGATCACATATGCCCAGCCCCATTCCTGCCTGAGTCCTTCGCCAGCCACCATGCCACGCCTCTTCACCTGAGTCCCTGATGGGCAGCACCCCACCCCAGACACCCCTACCTCCACACTCCTCCCCCCTGCTAGGGTGCCCTGGGGAAGTGGCTCTGGCCAGGCCCACAGACCAGGTGGCTTCACTGCAGGGGCTGGTCCCAGTGTCTCCATGCCGGCTGCTGGCATCCAGCCGCTCACTGGCCCACTGTCTCCACCAGCTCCTGGACATGAAGATCTTTGTGGACACAGACTCTGACATCCGCCTGGTACGGCGGCTGCGCCGGGACATCAGTGAGCGCGGCCGGGACATCGAGGGTGTCATCAAGCAGTACAACAAGTTTGTCAAGCCCTCCTTCGACCAGTACATCCAGCCCACCATGCGGCTGGCAGACATCGTGGTGCCCAGAGGTGAGCCGGCTGGGCTGACTGTTGCGTGGGTGTCAGGCAGGCCGATGGCCCCGCCCCCAGTCACCCTCCCCCATCCCGCCCCAGGGAGCGGCAACACGGTGGCCATCGACCTGATCGTGCAGCACGTGCACAGCCAGCTGGAGGAGGTGAGTGGCCCTCAGCCGAGCAGGGTCCTGTGTCCCCATGGCCTAGCCCAGCCCCACTACCCACTTCTCCACTGCCACCACCCCCAGTGGCCTGCTCCCCTCATCCCCCTGTGCTCACTGTCCCTTGCCAGATGCCAGCCCTGAGTGTCCTGAGCCTGCTTGGTCAGTCAGATCGTCCAGCCCAGACCCCATCCCGTTGTGCCGTGCAGGGCCTGGGTTCCCTGAGGAAGCTGGGGTGGGGGTACAGGTGCTCAGGACCCAGCCGAAGGTGCAGCCTGCTCAACACACCCAGCCTGAGCTTTTGGGAGTGACAGGCATGACCTGCTGGCCCAGGACTGGGGAGTTTCACTGCTGAGTGCCACGCCAGGCCAGGCTCCTCTCTTTCTCAGGGGGTCACCCCAGGAGCGACACCCCTACCAGAGGTCCTGTGCTCCCTGAGGCATTCTATGGCTGGGCCCTGGAGCCTGGGCTGTCTCTGAACACACTCCGTAACAGGATGTTGAAGGCCTGAGGCCTGCAGAACAGAGCCCAGGGTCCTGGCTCTTGCCCCAACCCAGAACTGCAGGTCTGGCCCAGGTGGTCCCCAGGTTAGAAGCGTTAGAAGCTTGCCACCCCCATGACTGGCTGTGTCCCTGCGGGCCTGCAGCACGTCCATTCCTGGGTGGGGGTGGCCTGGCCGCCTGCCCTGGTCACTGACGCGCCACCGTTCCCTTGTGTCTTCCTGTGTTGCTGCCACAGCGTGAACTCAGCGTCAGGTAAGACTTGCACAGCTGTCTGCACAGATGGAGGCATTTCCAACACTCGCAAGGAGCTCTCGGTCTGGGCTGTGATCCAGCCAGGCAGGCAGCCGGCTCTTCGCAGTCACAGAAGGGGAGGTGTGGAGTGGTCTCAGCCCTGCTTCTGCCTCCCCTTGCTGGCAGATGAGGACACTGAGGCACAGAGACGTGATGTAGCTTGCCCAGGGTCGTGGGGTCCTGACCCTGTCCTGGCCAGACTTTGCTGGAGGCTCCCCTGACCCCTGAGTCTGTCTATGGGATTTGACCCCAGAGAGCACAGCTGTCCTGAGGCAGCACTGCCAGGCCCCTGGGGCAGTGACTACAGACATGTCCCAGCAGCCAGGGAGCCTGTTGTGCCTCCTATGCCCAGCCTCACGGACCAGTCAGCTTTCCCTGGTTGCAGGTGGGAGGGCCTCGCCCCTGTCCTCCCACCCACCTGGGTCCTGCTTGCCCCAGCTCTGTCCTTGCAGCCCACACAGCTCTGCCAGCAGGAACTGGGCAACTGCAGCAAGAAGCTTGGGCTGGGCCGGGCCATATCCCACTGCCCCTCCCCAAGGGCAGGTGTGCAGGGGGCAGCCACGAGGGAGCTGCCCTTCTCCCCGCCTTCCGTGGGTTGGGAGGCTCCTGACTGAACCACCTGGTGGGAGAGCCCTCGTGTTCAGAGCACTCCAGAGAGTTTGCCAAATGTTGGAAATGCCTCCAGGGCCCGTCCACCAGCCGTCCAGCCTCCTGTGCCTGCATGAGTCTCTGCTTGGCCCTCTCCACGGCCAGGGAACCCGCAGGTCTTGTCCCATCAGGTTCCTCCTGAAGCTTTTGTTCTGAGAAAAAAAACTTTCCAGGGTTTCGAACTTGAAAAAACACCTCAACACAGCCAGACACATTTTCCATCGTCTGGTCAGCTCAGAAAGTGTTGGCCTGTGGCTCCACTCACTTCCGTCAGCCCCAGGAGCCTTGGTGGGGGGCAGGAGGGAGGGCCAGGCAGGGCTGGGGACCTGGCCACCCACACTCCTCCTCAGGCCTGCGGGGAACGCCCTGCTCCCCAACTAAGCAGCCTTCTCTTTGTTCTCTTCCTTCTCTTGTAAACCCCCGTTTCCTGCCCTGTTCCCTCCCTGAACATGCTCTTCACCTGGCAAGCAGAGGAAGCTACGTTGGGATATGTGAGCAGAGTGCTCTGTGGTGCTGCTGTGTGCCCGCCTTCCTGTAGCCCCTTGTCCCTGCTCCTGCCCCGCCCCTTTCCCTGCCAGTCACGCCTCTTTTCTGCCCTGCCACACCCCATTCCCAGCCCTGCCTCTCCCTGCCCGTGTCACGCCCCTTTCCTGCTCCTGCCACACCCCATTCCCGGCCCTGCCTCTCCCTGCCCGTGTCACGCCCCTTTTCCGCTCTGCCCCCTCCCTCTCCCACCTCTTTCTTGCCTCCCTCCCGCCCTTTTCCTGCCTGCTCCTAGACCTGCTCCTGCCTCTGCCCTCCCCAGGCTTGGGCAGCGGGGCGGGGCAGCCAAGCGGCACTGAGCCAGCTTTGCCCCTCGCCCCCATCTCTTGAGGGGCCACGCACCACTTCGGGGAGGAGCCAGGGCGGGGCCTGACCCCACAGAGCTTTAGTTGTTCCCCCAGGGAGAGGCTGCGGACAACCCACCCATTCTGGGGTCTGGGACCTGTGAGCCTGCCCTGTGCCTGGCCCACTTCTGCTTCCTCTTAGCCCAGGAGGGGTCCCGCACTGGGAGGGGCCCTCACACCCTACCCCCCAGCTTTCTGCCTGATGGTGAGCTTGCCCCGCTGTTCGCCACCATCTTTCGCCTTTGCCTGGCAGCTCAGCCCCAGGCAGAAGTCAGGCCCGCTCCACCTCCTGCTGTGCCTGGCCCATGCGTTCCCCCCACAGTGATGTGCACAGCCGTCCTGTGGGGAGGGAGAGCTCTGGGAGAAGACCCCCTTCTTCAGTGTTCCCCATCGGTTTGTCCCCAGGGCTGCGCTGGCCTCGGCACACCAGTGCCACCCCCTGCCCCAGACGCTGAGCGTCCTGAAGAGCACGCCGCAGGTGCGAGGCATGCACACCATCATCAGGTGAGGACCCACCTGGGGACGGAGGCCCCGCGCGCTCCCGCTCCGCGCGCTCCCGCTCAACTTTCGGCCCCGCAGGGACAAGGAGACCAGTCGCGACGAGTTCATCTTCTACTCCAAGAGACTGATGCGGCTGCTCATCGAGCACGCGCTCTCCTTCCTACCCTTTCAGGTTTGTAGCCCGCGAGGTGGAGGGTGGGTCCCGGAGCCGGCGCGGGCTCCCTGCGCTCACCGAGTCCTCACCCTTCACCCCACAGGACTGCGTTGTGCGGACCCCGCAGGGGCAGGACTACGCGGGCAAGTGCTATGCGGGGAAGCAGGTACCTGCCTGGGCGCACTTGGGCGCGGGACGGGCTGCTGGGGCGGGATGTGGGTGCTTAGCCTCCCCTCCCCGCAGATCACAGGTGTGTCCATCCTGCGTGCCGGTGAAACCATGGAGCCCGCCCTGCGCGCCGTGTGCAAAGACGTGCGCATCGGCACCATCCTCATCCAGACCAACCAGCTTACCGGGGAGCCCGAGGTGCGTGGGGGCAGCTGGGGCGATGCGCCCGGGGCTGGGGGCAGAGGGAGCCGTACCTGCAGCCTGACCCGTGCCGCCCGTAGCTGCACTACCTGAGGCTGCCCAAGGACATCAGCGATGACCACGTGATCCTCATGGACTGCACCGTGTCCACGGGCGCCGCGGCCATGATGGCGGTGCGCGTGCTCCTGGTGAGTGGGCCCTGGGTAGGCGGGCCAGGTTCAGGCAGAGGTGGGATTTACCTGCCCGTACACTTTGTAGGACCACGACGTGCCTGAGGACAAGATCTTTCTGCTGTCACTGCTCATGGCAGAGATGGGCGTGCACTCAGTGGCCTACGCGTTTCCACGCGTGAGAATCATCACCACGGCGGTGGACAAGCGGGTCAATGACCTTTTCCGCATCATCCCAGGCATTGGTGAGGCTGCCCAGGCCCTTCAGCCGTGCATGAGGGCAAGGTGGGTGGCCCTGGGAGGCCCCACCACACTGGCCCGCTTCTTTCTCCAGGGAACTTTGGCGACCGCTACTTTGGGACAGACGCGGTCCCCGATGGCAGTGACGAGGAGGAAGTGGCCTACACGGGTTAGCTGCCCAGTGAGCCATCCCCGTCCCCGCCACCCTCCTTCTGCCTCCTGACCCAGGATTGCCGAATACAAAGATGTGAATTTTTAAAATGTTACCAGTATAATTTATTTTATGCATTTTATAAAATAAAGAAAGCTTTAGAAAAATGAAGGTGTGATTGGTTAGTTACAGCACAGGAGTGGCGTCCTGGCTGAGGCTTGCGTTTGAGGAGACTCCCGTGGGGAGGGAGGGAGGGAGCTGAGGGCCCTGCCTTCCATGCAGGACGAGGCATTCCCAGTCTTGCACTTGTGCCAGATCAAGGAAGGGGTAGAACTGGGCCCTGCAGCTCCCAGCTCTGCTAGATGGGGGCCCTAGAACCCATGGCTTGGTGGCCACCCGGCCTGGACCTAGAGAGGGGACAGGGCCCCCTGGTGCTCTGGGTCTCAAGAGGCAGCCTCTGTGGCTTTTCCCCCCGGGGCCAATGAGCCTGGAGCCGCTGCTGCTAAGGGCCCGCCCCGTGCACCCCTCCAGACCTGGAGGCCCACCTGCCTCCCGTGGTCTCTGCCGTGCCCACACCCGCGAGCCCGGGTTCTCTTAGGTCCTGCCTACGCTGCACTCCGTGCACGTCCCCCTCGTGCTCCCCGAGGGGAGTCGCCGCCGCGGTTTACTGAGGAAGAGGAGGTGCACGCGCAGCGCCCACACGACAGGCCCCGGAGTGTGGGGAGAGGCCCGGATAACTCAATCAGCCTCCCGGGGCTCAGCCGTGGGCCGGGCGCATCTTGACACAGGATGCGGCCCTCCGGTGACTCTTCGCAGCGGCCACGTCCTCTCAAGCACCAGCGTCTTCCTGCGTGGAAGTCCACGGCCAAGAGCGCGGCGTCCTCGGAGCCTGGGACCTCGATTATGCCGGATGCCGGATCCTGGACAGCGGTCTGCTGACCAAGGGAGGGACACCGCGAGGCCTTGCACTGCAGTGGGGTCTCCCACTGCCCATGCGACCAGGCCAGGTGGGCGCTGGTCCCCAAGTGGGCGGCCCATCTGCAGGTGCAGCACTCCCGCCACTTGCCCCGCCCCGCCGGCCCCGAGTGGCCACGACCCTGCCCAGTCCCCGCCCCGCCCCCCACCCTGACCCCACGCGGCCTGGCTGGCGCTGGGAAGTGGTCCCTTCGTCGGGCTCCTTGGTCGCTCCTCGGTCTCGGTCGCAAGGAGCGGAGCGCGAGGAAGGCATAGCCGCGGGGAGGGTGGTCCGACCCCGTCTCCAAGACGGGGTCCTGTTTACCAGGAGAAACGGGCAATGACCCTCACTGGCAGGGGTCTCGCTGCCCACCACCCAGTGTCCAGCGTTCGTCTTGCTGTTACTTAACATTGCTCTGTAAGAATCCCATATCGAAAATACTGAACATAGGCCGGGTGCACTGCCTCACACCTGTAATCCCAGCACTTTGGGAGGCCTACACGGGTTCAAGAGCAGCCTGGCCAACATGGTGAAACCCTGTCTCTACTAAAAATAAAAAAAAACTAGCTGGGCGTGGTGGCGTTTGCCCTTAGTCCCAGCTACTCAGGAGGCTGAGGTACAAGAATCGCTTGAACCCGGGAGGCGGAGGTTGTAGTGAACCGAAATCGCACCATTGCACACCAGCCTGGATGACAGAGCAAGACTCTCTCAAAAAAAAAAAAAAAAAAAAGAAAAGTAATAAACGTGGATTCTACCTAATTAAGAAAATTCAAAGACCAAACCAGAAAAAAAGTCTGACAACGCTAAGGCTGGAAGGGGCAGCGAGAAGACGGGGATCCTCTTCGCAGGGCAGTGTGGGGCCACCAGTCAAGAGAAGGCTTCCAGATCCCGCTCCCAGCGATAACTCAGCAGCGACATTCAGGCAGCATTGTTTCCACAGTGAGAAACTAGAACCCTGGGGTCAGTTAGCCCAGGACCGGTCGTGATTAATTCGTGACTGTTCTGTACAGAAGCTAAAATGAACTAGACCTAATATAACCACACGGCTTGTTTTTTAAATACTCCTGTTATCGAATGAGAAACAGGCTGGGCGCGGTGGCTCACGCCTGTAATCCCAGCACTCTCGGAGGCCGAGGTGGGCAGATTACCTGAGGTCCGGAGTTCAAGACCAGCCTGGCCAACATGGTGAAACCCCCTCTACCAAAAACAAACACCGGGCGTGGTGGCACGTGCCTGTAATCCCTGCTACTCAGGAGGCTGAGGCACAAGAATGGCTTCAACCTGGGAGTCGGAGGTTGCAGTGAGCCGAGATTGCGCCACTGCACAGAGACTCTGTCTCAAAAACAAAAACAGGCCGGGTGCGGTGGCTCACGTCTGTAATCCCAGCACTTTGGGAGGCCGAGGCGGGCAGATCACGAGGTCAGGAGATCGAGACCATCCTGGCTAATATGGTGAAACCCCGTCTCTACTAAAAATACAAAAATTAGCCGGGTGTGGTGGCGGGCACCTGTAGTCCCAGCTACTCGGGAGGCTGAGGCAGGAGAATGGGGCTTGAACCTGGGAGGGCGGAGCTTTGCGGCGAGCCGAGATCGCGCCACTGCACTCCAGCCGGGAGCAGCAGAGCAAGACTCCGACTCAAAAACAAAACACAAACAAAAACAAACTCATAAGGCAGGTGAGTGTACTTAACAGCATGGTGTAATACAATTTATGTAAAACGATATAAACCAATGATACGTGTGTAGGACCAGACAGTGGCGGAGCACAGTTTGAAGCTACATGGAGTTTGGCGCAGTGAAGCAAGCCTGTAATCACACTTACTGGGGAGGCCGAGGCGGGCAGATCACGAGGTCAGGAGATCGGAACCATCCTGGCTAACACAGTGAAACCCTGTCTCTACTAAAATAAAAAAAAGACTAGCCGGGGCGGGTGGCGCGCCTGTAGTCCCAGCTCGGGAGGAGGCTGAGGCAAGAACGGCGTGAACCTGGGAGGCGGAGCTTGCAGTGACTGAGATCCGGTCACTGCACCCAGCCTGGGTGCAGCACTTTGGGAGGCCGAGGCGGGCAGATCACGAGGTCAGGAGATCGAGACCATCCTGGCTAACACAGTGAAACCCCGTCTCTACTAAAAAATAAAAAAAAAAACTAGCCGGGCGAGGTGGCGGGCGCCTGTAGTCCCAGCTACTCGGGAGGCTGAGGCAGGAGAACGGCGTGAACCTGGGAGGCGGAGCTTGCAGTGAGCTGAGATCCGGTCACTGCACCCCAGCCTGGGTGACAGAGCGAGACTCCGTCTCAAAAAAAATAAATAAAATAAAAAATAAAATAAAGCTACATACGGAAGGAGAGGATGGAAATGGGGAGAGACACACAAAACGGTCGTGGATGCTGTCTTTTTTTAAAAAAATGGAAAATCGGACTCAAATTACTTTACTTTTTTTTTTTTGAGACAGTCTCTCGCTCTGTCACCCAGGCTGGAGGGCAGTGGTGCGATCTCAGCTCACTGCAACCTCTGCCTCCTGGGTTCAAGCGATTCTCCTGCCTCAGCCTCCTGAGTAAGCTGCGATTACAGGCACACGCACCACCATGCCTGGCTAATGTTTTTTGTATTTTCAATAGAGACAGGGTTCCACCATGTTGGCCAGGATGGTCTCGATCTCCTGAGCTTGTGATCCACCCGCCTCGGCCTCCCAAAGTGCTGGGGAATACAGGCGTGAGCCACCATGCCCGGCCCTTACTTCATTTTTCTTTTTTTTCTTTTTTTTTGAGACGGAGTCTCGCTCTGTCGCCCAGGCTGGAGTGCAGTGGCGCAATCTCGGCTCACTGCAAGCTCCGCCTCCCGGGTTCACGCCATTCTCCTGCCTCAGCCTCCCGAGTAGCTGGGACTACAGGCGCCCGCCACTGCGCCCGGCTAATTTTTTCTATTTTTAGTAGAGACGGGGTTTCACCGTGTTAGCCAGGATGGTCTCGATCTCCTGACCTTGTGATCCGCCCGCCTCGGCCTCCCAAAGTGCTGGGATTACAGGCGTGAGCCACCACGCCCGGCCTACTTCATTTTTCTTAAGGTTGAATAGAGGATTTCAAGATGTTACATTCTTCTGAGTTTTTGCTTGTTAGTTTGTTGAGACAGGGTCTCCCTCTGTCACCCAGGCTGGAGTCTGGGGTGGGACCACAGCTCACCGTAGCCTGGACTTCCTGGGCTCAAGTGATCATCCCTCCTGGGGAGCTGGGGCCTCAGGCACAGCAATGCCAATAATTTCAAACTCTTTAAACTCTTTTTTGTAGAGACATAATCTCGCTGTTGTTGCCCAGGTTAGTCTTGAACTCCTGGGCTCAAGCAATCCTCCCACTTTGGCCTCCCAAAGTGCTGGGATTATAGGCATGAGTCACCACGCCCGGCCTCTTTGCTCCAGTCTTGACACTTAGAAAATGGAGGTGAAAACAGAATCAAGAGGAGGGGGCATTTGTCCACATGTGGACCAGGCAGGAGGGAAGTTCCAGCCACAAGGGGTGTGGGGACTCTTAAGATCGGCTGCTGCTTCTCCAGAACGGGGGATCTGCTCTCAAAAACCAGGGATCTGCAGGACCAGGGAATAAGACACACGTGGGGTCTGCAGTGAAAACATTTATTTTACAACAGTAATCTTTATTTTAGGTCAACATTCAGACATACAAGACGGAGATCACCATGCGGAACCAGCCTGGCCCTCCGATGTGTGTGCTCGAGCCAGGATCAGCCGGAGTCTGACAGCGCCTGCACCCCAACACAGTCGGACTCCAGGACGCAGTGAAAAAACCAGGGCATGGACAAGCAGCTTCCATGCGTTTGCGTTTGATTTTTAAAAACAAGACATATTTCAGTGTTAACTTCCCCCCTCACCTGGTTGGAAACATTTTTCCCATTTTCCAGAGAAACAATATCTACCAAAAGGTGCCGCCTGCAGGACCCGGCCCAGCCCCTTCTGGAGGTGCTGCTGTGTATCCTCCTCTGGGGCAGACCTGGGGCCAGGACGGGGCCCCTCCCCAGGCTGCCCTTCAGATGCAGCTTTGCCACTGATTGTATCTGTTGCTTAGAAAATCGGCTTTAATGTTTCAAGGCAGGGAAGGGTTTCCAGTCACCTCCTAGATTTCACACCGGGACACACACCTGGGTCAGGTGGGCGTGACACGGAGCCCCCAGGATGGGCACCCAACCCTGCAGAGCAGAGGCCAACACCGGT